GTTAGTTCCCTGCACTGCTGCTGTTTCAGGGGTATCTCAGGGGCTGCTGCTGTTTCACAGCCTGTTCCTGAGGCTGTAGCAGGGTTGTAGCTGCACAAACTCTGTCCTGAGGCTCTCCAAGGGGTGGATGTCTCCCTGTAGTGCTGTAGAGATTCCAAAACCAAAGGTTTTTTGAAGCAACCAACATGTTCTCCGAGAAAGCTCCCTGGCTTTGCGGTTTCTTGCCCACTCTGAAGTGGCTTATGTTTGTTCAAGTTTCACTTGTGCTGCCTAGTCAGTGTTTTGAAGTGAGCAGTTCAGGAGAAGGAAAATCCCTGGGATAGGTTCCTGGTAGTGTATGTTCTTGGGAGCTTGCAATAGCCATTTTCAAGGGATTCTGTTGGTCTGACAATTGGTGCTTGTTTAGGAGTGTGAAGTTGGTGTGTTTTGCTGATGGCAATTGTATCAGGTGTCTGAAATAATTTTCTAAGATGGTTAGAAAAAGAATCGAGTTGTGTTTCAGCTGTGATCATGTGAAAAAAGTAAGTTGAGTTCTGCAAAACTCTATCCTTGCAGAGTCCATTCATTCTCCTATTTTCTGTAGGCTAACAGGAAAACCTCTTGTAAGGTTTAAGTAGCCACTGGCATCAGTAATGTTAGCTGTTGCCCTTGCCTTGGGCAAATCCCTTCACTTCTGCTTAGTTGGGGATACTCCTGGTTCTCCACCTAAAGCCAGTAGGCTTGGAGGAATTACAACCTTCCATGGTGTGACTGAGAAGTATGGGACTCTTTTATAGGGCTCAGATACTGTTCCAGATACTGGGAGAACTCTCGTTTTAGCATCCCAGATGCTACACAGTTGTGACACAGAGTGTTTCTGTCCTAAAGAGCACACACCTCAGCTTGCTGAGAAATGTTCCTTCATATTGCCAAGTCACAGTTTGTCACCCAACTGAAATTTAGCTCCTATTCCTCTGTATGCAGCTCTTTGTTGTTTTACTGGGGAGGAGTTGCTGTGTTTCATACTGTTGGAGATTGGGCTTTTTGTTTGTCTTTTGGTTATCTTTACATTCATGATGGCATCTATTTTTATTTCTCATCTGAGAGAAGAAAATGTTTCTGACTATGCCCTTGATTGTGTTGTTTCCTTTTCTGCTGTAGGTGCATCCATAAAAATTGTGGGGTGCCAGGGATGAAACTTACTGGGAAAAATCAGTTGGCAGATGAATAACATATTTACCAGTAGCTGCCATTTACAAGCTGTGGAACCTGAATGTCTGTCCCAGGGTCCATGGCATGGCCCCTTACCTGACTGACCCTCACACCTCACCCAGTCAGCCCTGGCTCTGAGCCTTTCAGAAGTGCAGGCTGACAGACGTGGGTGTGTGGCAGTTCTGCCAATGCCTGAGTCTAAGCAATAAAATACTCTCTGGGAGAAACCTAGGATGAGTCTGGAGGCATCCTGTTTGGGAAGATGACTGCTGGGGAGTAGCCCATACCTGTCTGTTAAGACTCGGATTTTACACATCTTCTTAGCAGCAACAATAACAACAAGGCAGCTGTTTGTAAGGAGAAGGGCAGCCATAAATCACTTGCTGATGATAAAAAAGTTCACTCATCAGGTATGTTGTGAGCCACAGGTCTAATTGCATGGCCCAGAGGGATCTGCTGACTCAGGATCTCTACTCTTCACCTCCCTTGAACTTGAGGAGAGTAGAAGAGGAAAACATTGGAATTGTTACATGAGGAAAGGTTCCTCCATAAGAAAGCAAGCAATTATGGGTATTTTAGCCTACCTGGACCTGAGGGAGTTGATCTTGAATCTCATTCAGAGAAACTATGAGTTTACTTCCTTGTTCATATAAACAAAGCCAGTGGGAATCATGCCTACTACTACCATTCCTTGTTCATATAAACAAAGCCAGTGAGAATCATGCCTACTACTACCACATGTTTTCTTCAGGAAAGCTCTCCCATGCCTCACCCAAGAGCTGGAGGGGTGAGTGCCACTGTCAGGCTGGAGCTGACAGGAGAGCTTGGTGACTCACCTGCCAGCCCTGAAGCCTGATGCCCTGAGGGATCTCTCTGCACCCCACTACTCAATACACAACACAGTGGTGATGGCCTCTGTCATCACTGGTGTGATGAGGGCAATGCTGAGCCTGGCGTAAGAGCTCATCAGCTCTGGCTCCCGGGTCTGCAGTGCTGAGCCTCTCCCAGGCTGAGGACATGTGGCACACAAAGGCCCAGGCAGAAAACCAGACCCTTCCATCCTGCCTCCCCAGCCTTGTATTCCTCAACAGAGAGTAGCGAGAGGGAGGAAATAAGATGATGTTACACAAGGGCTTGCTGAAATTAGTTGCTGAGGAGATCTGACATACATCTGAGGATCTAGTGAAGTCCCTATGACCCTGCCATGCTTCTCAGGTCCTCTAGAGTACCAAGTATATTTGCATTTTTCATACAACACAATTCTTCCACCATATGGGAAAATAGAGGTCATCTTTTTTACCCCTAGTGTAATAAGACATTGTCACTAATACAGGGTTCTTGACTTCTAGAAATTGATGTCACTTGTAATACAAGCAGATAGGCCAAACTGAGTCAACTTCTTACAAGTAATTACAATTTAAAGTTTAAAAAAAAATAGCCAGAGCCTGTGCTGTGAGGAGGGAGCTGGCAAAAACAGCTGCACAGACACTGCTCCAGAGAAGGGCAATCCAACTGTCCCTCAAAACACTGTATGGATGTGACTTCAGTGAGGGAGCCACGCTGGATGCAGCCAGGAGGCAACTGCACAAGTGAGTCACTGTTAAGCCTTCCTACACACAGTCACATCAAGGGGTTATTACTCAAACACCCTTTATTGAAAGCAAGTCATAATTTGGAATTAGTGACAGACAGATCAGTTCTAATTCATTCACACAAACTTAACCCTGTGAAAGGCTGTCAGGGTGGCTGGGTTGTCTCTAATGTTTGGGACATTCCCATTTGCCCCAGTTCTCTGTTGCCAGCCAGCTGCATTGGGATTGCCCTGTAAATGCCAGCACATTGCTCTGGTTGCTAATGAAAAATCCTTTAAAAAAACCAAAAACCTGACATGAAAAAAGATAAAATCTGACCTGCAACATCACTCTCCTAACTGCACCTTAAGGCACAGCATGTCATAAGCAATGGCTTATGGTAGGTTTTTTTACTCCTGCCCATTTTACCTTACACTGAAGAACATCAAATCTATACAGGTGAAACTTCAACTCACATCTTTCACAAGGAAAAAAGTACTAGTTTACACAGCACCTATGCAGATTTGAAATCCAACCCATCACTTCATCAAACAAGGACATCCTGAGAGCACTGAAGCCCCTTCCTTCCCCCAGGAGTTATGGCAGCACTCGGTGCGGTGTCCCTCCCCTCCTGGGACTCTACCACAAACACGTGGCTGAAGTCATCTCACCCGACTGACCTGGGCACATGCAGAACAAGCATTTCCACTGAGATTTTGAAACCCCTTGTGTCCTGTGCCCCAGAGCTGCCAGAACAGCACCAACTGCTAACAGGGTTTAAGCTGCACAGGTGTATCACACATGTTCTGTAGCTAAACGAGCAGCATGTTGGGTTTACTGAACCATTTAAACCATTCTGAGTTCTGCCTAAGAACAGCTACCTCAGCCTTTAGACAAAAAGCTCTTTTAGCTGATGCCAACTGTGATGACTTTTAAGCCCAAATGAACAAATTTGATCTATGCAAGAAAAGAACTGAAAGTTCACAAACTGACATACACACAAAGTTGGATTCTTGCAAGGCTTTCTCATTCTGAGCAGACATTTCTACTGCCTTCTGTTCTACTACTGTATGTGAGCTGGATCAGAGCTGAGCAGTTCAGCACCTGCAGCACCAACACCTCACTCTCCCAAACTCTGACCTCCCACGTGCTGGGACTCAGCCCTGACACACCGAGCGCCAGGAGAAACAAACCGCATCCACATGCCAATCATCAGTTATGCATCAATCAGGATATCACTTTTATTAACTGGATTTTTCCATTTCTGTCGCACACCATGAATGTTTATACAATGAAAAAGCCAAACATTGCTCGAAGCAATAAGATCAGCTGATAGTTCTGTACCCTCTTAACACACATACATGGATTCTTTCTTGGTGAGAAATTTGTATACTTCTGTTCATTAATTCTGCTTATTTAGACTGCTACTCTTAAAATTCTGTGTCAAGATTGTCACATCTTAAATACAGATTAAGTTGCTAGAGGTACATTTTTTTATATATATTTATATACACACATACAGAAAAATACAAGACTAACTGTTCTTCCACAATATTTACTTTATACACTACTGTAACTATATGCAACTTTTAAAGACACGTTAAGGGGTACAAGAAACTGTTTACTTGCTCTAAATAGTTTGGTCCAATATTATCTTAATGTAGTGGTTATTCTCGCCCTTCCTTTTACGTGACGACATAATACGACATACACCACATGCACAATCATTCACCTATCAACAAATGGGGAAAGGACACCACTCAGACTGACATCTGTACACCCAGAGGTTCAACCAGCCACACACAACTATAAGGCTATAATACAACTATGCAGCATAAATGGTCAACACTGCTGTTCTAAAGTGAGCACCATATATACAGTCGTATATAAAAACATTGGAAACAAAATACACCCGGGGTTAGTTAAAAGGTGCCATTCCAAGGCTGTACATAACATCAGGAAAGAGTATTTACAATGCTTGGAAAAAAAAGCTGCAACAAATAAAAGTTTATTGCCAATGCCCTTTATAAACTTGTCTCCTACGTGGATGTTATGCTCACTGTCTGTGAACCACACATCTCATTTCTGGCCCTTGGTAAGATCCCTGCTCAAAAATTTCAAGCAAATATGTTCTATGGCTTCACCCACACATCTACTCTCGTAGCTTTTAACTAAACTGCAACTAGAGTTAAAAAAAAACTTAAAAGAAGCAAAACACTTATCCTTTGCCTTGTTCAGGAAGCAGAACGTGAACCCCTGGCTAGGCTCGCTGGTGAGGATACCCCAACAACTCAGGCTCTCTCAAGTCTTGCACTAACCAAAAGAGCTGCTGTGAGCCGCAGACATCCCGAGCAAGCGCAAGGCCGTTCTTTGGTGCTCTGCTCCCTCCGTGGCAGACATGAAACTCGCTGTATTTGACCATTCTGCAAGTGTTACAAGATGCTCAACAGTGTCAAACTCCTCTGGGACACCCAAGGTCTGCCCAGGGTGCTGCTACATAGTACCACCAGTTTCACTAGCATTGCTTAGAAGACCCAGTGCACAGCATGAAAAAATAAAACATTCTTGCCCTTCCCAAAACTAGGAATCTGCAATATATTTTATTCTAGATAATAAAATTCCACAAAGTTAATTCATCTGGTCAAAAGTATCCTTTTGTACAGAAATACTCTTAAAGCACGACCTTGCCATGGCAATGGGAAACCCAACAGGAAGGCTGAGAGCTGTAAAATAAACACTTTCCTATAGGATATTTTAAATGGACTTCATGAAAAAGTGTTATAACTGAGGGAAAATAAGTGGTGTACATGTGGGGAACAGCAGTATTTTAAGTCTTAAAAAGAGTAATGATAACAAAAATGTAAATGACAATAACAATTTCAGTGTGAATCCAATTACCTAAAGGTTTTCCATCCCTTATTGCCTTCTGGAATCTCAGGGAGAGGAGGAGAGGACAGGGAAGAGGGTTTACACAGTAAAAACCTAAAATATTAAATGTCATGATATACTACTAACAAAAGTAATTCATACAAATACTTTATTTTCAGTTAGCATGTAAAAACTCAGAAGTAGACTTAATAATTTACCTTTGTTATATTAAAAAAGATTGTCTGCTTGTAATATTAACATATTTCTATGGGAGAAAGCTGCCTTACAAATCTACTTGCCTTTTTTTTTTTAAAGAAAACTGCCTCTAGCAAAACCAGATCTTTTCAGTTTGATTTTTTGAGCCACAACTTCATCCATATTATAGCTTAAGACAAATAGGTGTGGGTTTAAAATCATATTTCAAGATCACTAATTTTCAGTGCATCTTTGCTTTGTACAAGCCTTGGAACATCTGAAAACTCCCTGAAGAGTTTTCAGCATCAAAACATTATTGCTTTGGTTCTGTTTCAGACACATAGAAGTATGCCACATATCACGTATTTTAGTTATCACAGAAGGTCAGAACAAGAATTAACATTTCACAAGCAAACAAAAGCTTCTCTCTCTAGTTTAAGTGCAGAACATGAAACTTCTAAGTGCTTCATTTACATTAGGATCCAGATATTTTTTTTAATTTAATCCAGATCTTTCATAGTAAAATTATAAATGTAAAAATTACACAATAAAATATTCTGGTTTGTTGAAAAAGAAAAACATATCGGCTAGCAGCATGCAGAGACCATGCATTGTCATACCATCCAGCAAACACAAAATTAAAGTGTAATAAATAACTGCTCAAAGCCCACTGAAAAATCTTAAGACAACAAAAAGGGGGTCCGTGACAAGGTGTTCACAGCTCTGACCAGGAAGAATGATGCTGTCAAGTGGATCGAGCTGTTAAAGTCAGGTCGCTGTCAAATGACATGACAGCAACTGGTTTGACTGGAGGTACACAGCAGCCCCTCCTTTGGGTTCCGCTGAATATTCACAGAGATCATCTTTTCACAGAGAGGTAGTTGTAGCACATTGTTTTTCAAGTTCCTGTTCTTTAGCCGTTCCAATTCCTTTGCTGTGTCTGACATTTGGTCAGAAAAGAATTTCAGGCTGCCCAACGACGCAGGCTGGTTTGCACTTCCACTGGAGCTTATACACATTTTCCATGTTGATTTCTCCTGTACTTTTACACTGGAAAAAGACAGATTGTTTTGAGGATCAATAATGTATTTCGTGCTGCCGTGGATCTGTGAACCTAGGCAAAGGCTCATTAACTTCAGGCTTTCAACCAGTTCCCCTGCACTTCTGGACGAGAGCTGCATTGAGTTTCCGGATCCGGCACATCTCCGAGTAGAACCCGAAGTGTTGTTGGTGCTACCACCAGAGCCACCAGAGGGACTCCCCCCACCTTTGCTGTTATCGCTTGGGCTTGTTTTGTCTACCCCTCCATTTCCATTGCTTGGCTTGCTTTGTCCACCACCGTCTCCCTGGCTGCCAGGTGGCCCTTCGCTACTATCCCGTCTGTGCCAGGAGTAAGTAAACCCACTGTCTTTGTCCAGGCGTCTCCTACTTTCCGAGTCATCGTCGCTTGTTTCTGAGCTGCTGCAGCTAGAGCCCCTGCCCTGGCTTTTCCTCCGGTGATAGCGTTTGTGCACTGTGCTGGGTGAGGCAATATTCATTTTTAACCTGCTGAGCTTTGGGGGTAAGTTCTCATCCATGTCGAACTCGTCATCTGACTCGCCCTCCTCAAAGATCTGATTGAGGACCGGTGCACTCTTCCTTGAAGTAAGACGATTTGTAACCGAAGGCTTACGACGCAGAACAACTTGAGTCGAAAGAGAAATAGGCTTTTTATCTTCTTCATCCTCCTCTTCATCTTCTTCTACTCTGAACAAGCACTTGCGGCCGCTCGTGGTGGGTTTTAAGCTCACCGATGGGACAGCGGAGAGTGCCGGCCCAGCCAGCTCGGGGATGTCTTCCTTCTTTGCCGCATCACCGAGGGCTTTGCTCCGGTGGCCGTTGAGGACGTTCTCAGCCGTGCGAGCTGGGGACTGAGGGACAGTCGCGTGGGACAGAGGAGATGCCGTAAGGTCATCCTCCAGATCCTGGGGGACGTCGATTTTTGTCGGCCACGACTGCCTACATGAACGATTATAAAGGCAAAACAAAAAGTGAGCTCATGGCAAGCATTTCAGAAAGCACAACAAGATGCAAGATTCGCACCAGAGAAGCACCACACAGCTTGGCCTGCTGAATGGCATGTTTGTAAACAATTGTACTGAGCGACAGAGAAGAGGAAACTTCTCAGAGACTGCATTCCTTTGGAAATGCTGTTATCTGAAAGGCACAGCATATATACAAGAGCATAGTTTAGAAATTAGGTTGGCTACTGTCAAATGAAAGCTTACGTTTTCACTGCTTTCAGAAAATGAATTAAAAACCTTAATAATCGTGTTGCAAAGAAAATAATCTGAGGTAGGTACAGATCCACCAGTACCCAGAGGAAGGTATGAGCTAATTCAAGCAGAACTTAAGTAAGATAGTATTGCAAACTACTTTTAATCTGAAGCTTCTGTTATTCCCCCCCATTTTAACCTAATATAAAAATTACGCTAGAATTTACATGAGTGAGACCAAAAGGGTGAGTCAGAAGAAACATCCTCTCATTTTCAGTAAGTCTCATTTAGGCCAAGCTCTATTCTACAAAGTCCCCTTTAATTTTAAACACACGTGAACTGAGATCATCCACTTATTTGTCCTTAGCTGAGCAACTGGAATAATAGAGCTGCAGGAATTCAGGACTCAAGCTGCTTAAGAATATGACACTGGAATAAACTGTAAATCCAAGTTGAAAATGTATGACCTAGAAGTAACAAAAGTAACACTTGAGTGTGAATCAGTTTTACAGTCAGCCTCATCTCCAGTATCTAAACTACTAGCTAATGATTTGTATTTGACTTTAAATCTCAACAGATATTGTAATTTTCCCATAACGCACACGAAATAAATGAAGAACAAAGACTGTCAGTCTTTACTCTCTCTATTTTGAAAGCCTAATCCAAAAGACTAAAGACTTACAAAGACCTTAACACTGAATAATTCTTCAATTTCTTCACTCGGTGTAAGCCCCACATTTCTTGTTAGAGACCAAGAAATAGTTTCTAACCTCTCAAACAGAGAGTTGTCCTCAATTTTGAGAAGTGCCAATCCTTTAACTTTACAAAATGAAAATACTCTAGCATACTGCTTGATAAGGTGTAGTAAGTCCCTCTGTTCATACGTGGACAGCATATTACAATACGTTCCCAACCATATCTTGTGTGTGCCGAAAGAAAAGGCTGCTTGACTTTGTACAGCCCAGTTTAGAAGCAAGAGGGAGGAGCAAAGCAGGAGAGGAAGCAGAGAATATTTCACACCCAGTGTGACCCCAGGTTTCTGCCTGCATGCAAAGACACAAGGATCACACCAGCTTCCTGCTCTCTGCCGTGTTCAAAGGTCAAGCTGAAGAAAGAGGGAACACTCGGACACCTCTTTGCTATTCTTATTCTAAATGTGTTCTTCTTAAGTGTTTAAAGTTAATGGAAGCACCTGCAGTAGGTCTGCACTTGCTGGAGGCTCTTGGCTCTGTAATGGCTGGATAGAAAAGGACCCTAAGGTGTGAGGTTCCTGTCTACACAGGTGACAACTGACAACTATGTCCCCAATTTTCTGAACTTTGAAGAGGAGACCTTTATTAAAGCCAGCCTTCAACTCATCAAGCCTAGCTGCAGCCTTAGCTTTGAAGAACTAGCTGTAGTTTTGCTTAACCAACCAGTGACAGAAACACCCACCAGAACCCTCTAGCAGCAGGACTTGGCAGCCCACACACCATTCCCTGGGTGGAACCACACAGGCTCCTGCCTGTTGCACTGGGAGCTACCGGTGGCCTCCCACCAGTTTCCCTCCACTGAGCAGCTCTACCAAGAGGGAGTGAACACAACAAGCAGCTCCAAGCCGAGCTGTTCAGGCAGGAGGTGAAGCCCAGGCTATGTTCCTCCTTGGTTTGACACCAGCAGCCTCCCTCAGACCCAGCTGACTCCAGGAACACTGGGAACCACTGACCCAGTTTTCTGATGACTTGTGCTCTGCTGCATATTTTAAACACAAACAAGTGTCTGTGATTAACAAAGACTTAAATAAATAGAAATGTAACTACAAACATGACAGAAAATGAAGATCTAAGTCTTTCAAGAAATTTACCATGCTTCAAGAACAGAC